CCATCCAAGATGGCCACTGTTTTCATCTTGAGAACATGGAGGTTGGGTGGTCAAGTGGTGGCCGTCCAAGATGGCCGCCGTTGTCATCTTGAAGGTGGAGGTTGGGCCTAGGTGTCCCCAAGGGTCATGGGATGTCATGGTCGTCAACTGGTGGCCATCCAAGATGGCCACTGTTTTCATCTTGAGAACATGGAGGTTGGGTCTTGGTTTCCTCAAGGGTCCTGGAGGTCATGGGATTTACTGGTGGTCAACTGGTGGCTGTCCAAGATGGCCGCCGTTGTCATCTTGAAGGTGGAGGTTGGGCCTAGGTGTCCCCAAGGGTCATGGGATGTCGTGGTGGTCAAGTGGTGGCTGTCCAAGATGGCCGCTGTTGTCATCTTGAAGGTGGAGGTTGGGCCTAGGTGTCCCCAAGGGTCATGGGATGTCGTGGTGGTCAAGTGGTGGCTGTCCAAGATGGCCGCTGTTGTCATCTTGAAGGTGGAGGTTGGGTCTTGGTGTCCCCAAGGGTCCAGGGGGCTCCTTGGGGTGTCCCATGAACCCTGGGGCTTATGGGACATCATGGTGACCACCCATGTCCTCCATGTTCTCCCCATCCTCTGTGTCCTCCATGTCCTCCATCTTCTCCCTGTCCTCCCTATCCTCCTCGTTCTCCATGTCCTCCATGTCCTCCATCTTATTGTCCGTGTTCTCCCCATCCTCTGTCCTTCATGTCCTCCATCTTCTCCCTGTCCTCCATGTCCTCCATATCCTCCTCGTTCTCCATGTCCTCCTCATTCTCCATATTCTCCCCATCCTCCATGTTCTCCATGTCCTCCTTGTTCTCCATCTTCTCCACATCCTCCATGTCCTCTATCTTCCCATCCTCCATGTTCTCCACGTTCTCCTTATTCTCCACATTCTACACGACCTCCTCATTTTCCACGTCCTCCATGTCTTCTTTCTTCTCCAAATTCTCCATGTTCTCCACGTCCTCCTCATTCCCCATGTTCTCCACGTCCTCCATCTTCTCCCTGTCCTACATGTCCTCCACATTCTCCATGTTCTCCTCATTCCCCATCCTCTCCATGTTCTCCACGTCCTCCACGTTCTCCATCTTCTCCCCATCATCCACGTTCTCCATGTCCTCCCCATTCTCCACGTTCTCCATGTCCTCCTCATTCCCCATGTTCTCCTCATTCTCCATGTTCTCCATCCTCTCCGTGTTCTCCGTGTTCTCCATCCTCTCCGTGTTCTCCATCTCCACGTTCTCCATGTTCTCCTCATTCTCCATCTTCTCCATGTCCTCCACATCCTCCATGTTCTCCACATCCTCCTCATTTTCCATGTCCTCCATGTCTTCCTTCTTCTCCAAATTCTCCATGTTCTCCACGTCCTCCTCGTTCCCCATGTTCTCCATGTCCTCCACGTTCTCCACATCCTCCTCATTCTCCATGTTCTCCACGTCCTCCTCGTTCCCCATGTTCTCCATGTCCTCCACGTTCTCCACATCCTCCTCATTCTCCATGTTCTCCACGTCCTCCTTATTCTCCATGTTCTCCACGTCCTCCATCTTCTCCCTGTCCTACATGTCCTCCACATTCTCCATGTTCTCCTCATTCCCCATCCTCTCCATCCTCTCCATGTCCTCCATGTTCTCCATCTCCACGTTCTCCATGTCCTCCATCTTCTCCATGTTCTCCTCATTCACCATCCTCTCCATGTTCTCCACGTCCTCCACGTTCTCCATCTTCTCCCCATCCTCCACATTCTCCATGTTCTCCATGTCCTCTATCTTCCCCATGTCCTCCATGTCCTCCACATCCTCCCCATTCTCCATCCTCTCCATGTTCTCCATGTCTTCCATGTTCTCCGTCTCCCCATCCTCCACGTTCTCCACGTTCTCCCCATTCTCCATCTTCTCCATGTTCTCCTCCATCTCCATGTTCTCCATCCTCTCCATGTTCTCCACCTCCACGTTCTCCACGTTCTCCCCATTCTCCATCTTCTCCATGTTCTCCTCCATCTCCATGTTCTCCAATCTTCTCCCCATTCTCCACGTTCTCCACGTTCTCCTCATTCTCCATCTTCTCCATGTTCTCCTCATTCTCCACATTCTCCATCCTCTCTATCCTCTCCATGTTCTCCACCTCCATGTTCTCCACATTCTCCTCATTCTCCATGTTCTCCATCCTTTCCATGTTCTCCATGTTCTCCATGTCCACGTTCTCCACATTCTCCTCATTCTCCAT